AATAAGTTATTTAACATATTTTATATCTGACATACTGTACAGTCATACATTTGTGTGAAGCACAAGTGATATTTTACCAGTAGGTCTTTTGGAGTGGGATACATTGATACTGAACTGACACGAAGCAGAGATCATAATTGTGAACTAATTTAATCATGAGCTTGCCAGCATCACTTCTTAATTATTAACATTTTTAAGTGAATTTTCATTTTTATTATTATTCTGTGTTTAAGTTTGAACATCCATCCTTTGGTAATAGTAGTAGTCACAATTTTCAAATGTAGCCGACTTATTTGGGGGATATCAAATTCATAAATTAGTTTCCACAAAGAACCCAATTGTTCACTTTTAAGATGTTACTGTTGTGATCAGTAATTAATTGGTTATTCTTTATTAACTGGTCATAGTTCACAAGTAGTTCTCAATGAGGATATTTTTATTTAATAATTATCAAATATCTAATAAGGAACTACCTTTGTCCTAAATTTGCTATTACTTACTGCTTAGTTAATCTTGCTTCTCTATTAGTTAATAGTATTAAGTGAAGTGTTAATGTAGTACTACCTATTACTTCCTGCATAGTTACTTGTTAACAACGGACCATTATTCTAAAGTGTTACCAATAACTCTCCCCGAAGAATTGAGATGTAAACAAAGGAATAACCATCCATATTACAACGTTATTGTTTCGTTGGACTAAACGTGCTCTATGGGATGTTGTTCAGTGGACCCTTGCCTTTCTAACTAAACCGAAATTTACAGCAGTGGATGCGTTTATGACTCGTTATTACGATGAATCTGGTACGTACTGCGTTTTTATTATGCATGTTTTGATGTGTACTGCTTACACAAATTTAACAAATACATTCCTATAAGCTTTCCATTGAAAAACAGTGATCTATCCTCGGTGCTTGAGGCTTAGACCTTTAGAATGATATATAGTTTGTCAAGATTAATTATGTCCCTTTTCACGTTATCTATTCGTAAAAATTGACACGTGCAAACAAAGAGCGTTCAGTGCGCCGGCGTTCAGGTGCGGGTTATCAGGAACATCTACCGAATGCTCTTTTGAGGGTTTCGCTGAAAACAACAGCTAGAAACCGGTCTTTCATCTTGCTAAAAGGAAGAAGTTGAAACTGGAGTCAGTGCGCTCAGACCATTAAATCACTTTACAGACAATTTATGTTGTCATGGCTATAAGACAACAATGGAGTCAAAACATTTTTGAATAAGATTGGATATTTTGACTGCCTCATTTCATAAAATAGTTTTTTTTTCTTTTTTTAAATAAATGACATCAAAACTCAGAGGATGTATTTGAAATTGATATGTCAATGTAAAAACAATTTTCTCAAATGTTTAACTTTTGTGTAATAGTATGTTTTCTGTAATAATAATTGAACACAAAATAATAATTAGCATTTGTATTCAATTAATATTGGGGAGTAAATAACAGCATCATCGCTACTAATTTTAATAATCAGCCGCCTAAAATATTAACTATAATTTTTTTTTAAAAACACAGATTCCCGACATTTTACATAAGTTATAGTCATAATACTGTATAATAATTTTACTAAATAATACAATATAATATGTAGATCATCAGTTTTTTCTACTATAAATTATTAGATAAATACTGCTCTCTATGCAATAAAATAAACTCAAATAATAAAATTAATTAGCTTAAGTTTCGCTAATTATTAGCAGCTCAAGACCAAGATCATGAGACAACAACAAAGTCAAGGCATTTGGATCACAACAGTTCAAAGATTTCAATTTTTCAATATTTATTTTGTCAACATAAAAGCTATTTTCTCATTGCTACTAACTTGAACTAACAAGTTGCCTAAAATATTGACTTTGATTAAAATGACTTATTTTAGTGGAAATAAAAATCAGATTCCCTATATTTTACATTAGTGATATTTTTTCCACTATTACACAATTTTACAAAATAATACTTACAATAGTTATAAAATAATTCTTTAGTTAATCGTTCACTAGTTTGTTTTCGACTATAGAGTAACATTGCTGTAGTTGAACTTCTGTATGTTGAAGCTACAAACAGCTTGCATATACAAGCCTCGAGTCAGTGTGAATGCTGTAGGTCTTTATCAGCTTTGCACATTTTCCCACTCCAATTTTCCCCATTCTTTTTTGCAGTACTCTACCTTTTTGATCCAAGTTTTAAGGCAGTGAAATAACAAGCACCACAAAGTCCACCTCAAATCTACTAGAGGCAGATTGACCCTGCTCTCCATCCAGTCCCATACCTCCTGGTATCTTGCCAGTCCTCCATTGACAGCAGCATCGATGACTCCGTTCAGGCACATGGTGAGAGGGTTGATGTTCAGCATCTGCCTCATCTGGCACTGGGCGATCAGCGTCCTCAACTGCAGCGTCTTATTTTCAATCACCTCGCTGGCGTTCTCCAAGGGACTCATCTCCACCTGTATTGAAAGCCCACCAAGGTTATGATGTCTCGGTTTATGTTTATATGATTGTGTTTATGGTGGATTGCAGACTTGGGGGCAGTTACTTTAAATTCATGACAGTGGTGAAGTGCTTGGAAAAACCTCATCTTGTACGTGATAGGCAGTTTTCATGATTTATGAAAGACTGCAGTCTACATCTATCTTGTCAAAATGAGAAAAAAAGTGATTTTTTAATGCTATGACTCACCAGTTCCCTTTTCTCAACTTCAAACCAGCTAGAGATGCCAGGTAGACTCTGAGCGAGGGCCAGTGTTGTCCGCTCAACCCACAGGCTCTACAACACAACACAAACAACATGAACATCACAAAACTGTAATGAACATAAAAAATGTAATCATTTCATCATCTTGGTGCCCAAGACTTTAGCAACAGAGAATGAAAAGACCCGCACAGAGAGAGCAAGAGACTTAGGGATGGATGGATGGATGGATCAACAGCACCTTAAACTCATTCTCTTTGTCTTTGGTGCCCTTGTGAAAAGGCCTGTCATAGCGAAACCTCCAAATATGGTTGACTTTGTAGAAGCTCTTGATGTTGTTGGGCACTCCGTCTCTCTGCAGGACGTCCTGGTTTTCAGGGACAGGACTAACGGGATAGATCTGCAGATCTGAATCGTGAACAGTTAAGGGACGTGCAAAGCGCATTCAGTCAGTTCACACAAATAAACACACGCAGATAATCTCATTAATAATGAAAATCTCATTATTAATAATCTCAGACACTCTCATTTGATTCAAATAAATCTAAAAGGTATCTCATTTGTTGCTCTTTGTTTATGGGATTCAGGAGAAACATCTGAGACAAAGGTGATACTTATAAATAAAGCATAACTGACACTCCTAACTGTAATAGAGCAATAAAACCTTCGTCTGAGAGAAGTTCAAGCTACTCATGAATTTATGCCACAGATACACTCAACTATCAGGGCCCGTATTCATCAAGCTTCTCAAAGTGCCATTTTAGTCTTAAGTGCTGAGAATTCATTAAATTTACTCCTACTTTCAAACTTAAGTATAAAAGCAAGTTATCAAATTTCTTAAAGCTAAGAATCACTCTTACTCTCCCAGTTATTTAAGACAGCTCGAGAGGTCTCTCAAATGGTTAGGAGTTGCCAGTAGGGGTTTGTGATGGCGCTGAGGAGACAGAAACGTGCGCGAATCTTTCAGGAGTGGAAGAATGTTCTTGAAATGTTTGACGACGAGCAGTTAATAAAACAGTTACATTTCCTCAGTTATTCAAACAGAAACAAGCAAATAATATTTACATTACCATAGAACATCATAACAGACTTCAGTCTAGTGCGAGTATTATATGGTCTTTAAAAACACTCCCGTTATAATCAGTGAAGCTACCTACACTGTATCATGAATAAATCTCTTACCCCTTATTTACACTGCACACATCTGCGGCGCGTTACGGCTCCGACACAGCTGATCTCGGCTACTCACCAGCCACACCGCGACAAGTTTCTGAAGCAGCTCTCCACGCTGCATCACTAAAGATAGGCACCTATATTTTTGACGGATAATAATAATAATTGCCTTGCTGTTGTCAAAGAAATTAGCAACAGGCGATATCTCTGACTATCGTCGATACATGATACTATCGTCTACCGGCACAACCCTAAATTGAAGGTTGTGATGACGATTCGTTTCCTTACCATAATGTATTCTCTTGAAAATTCTTTGTCAAATGTGTGTTGAATGTACACTCTTATTAGGAATTTAACCATTCAATGTGAATTTATCTGAGTATATTCTTAAATAAGGAAATCTATTCGGTGATTGGTCCATGCATATTTCGTCATCCAAAATCCCGTTTGTGGCACAGCAAAGTGTTGTGAATCAACTCTAAGACACTTAAGATTTAGTCCTACACTTCGCTTAAATTACGACTGAGATGCTTGATAACTAACTTTTAAGCGCAGCTTTGAGCCAAGAAGTTTTATACACTTAAGTCAATTCTTAGCAGCGTACTTGAGAGTAATTCTCAGGGGCTTGATAAATACAGGCCCAGACCATTAGCATCTGGTTGAAGAGAAGAGGTCACAGAGCAGATACTCATCTGATTAGAAACCGTGCTGCTGGCTGCCGACCAGCAGTTTACACATCTAACAGCTGCCCTATTAGCACTTCTCCATTCTTTAATTGCCCTTATCCACACACCAGCCATCATCTACGAACCCTTGAGGAGCAATTTGACAGTCTCAAGAAATTAAATGTGAACTTGTAATTAGGGATGCACCGATACCGATACTGGTATCGGGCCCAATACTGGTCTCCTGTACTCGTACTCGTACTTGTTAAAATGCCCCGATACCAACCGCCGATACCACACAGCATGTGATAAGTGCCATATTCAAACAAAGAAACACCAACAACAGAACAACAGACAGCAGAAAGGAGTTAAGGATGTCTACTATGAAGTATATGTATGCAATGAATATAATGTTAAACATTCAGTATTAACGCCTGTATAGCTGATGTGCGCGAGCTGATAAACAAAGCATGCTGAGTGGATTGAGCGTGCGGCGGCGCAGATGCGCGAACTTGACGAGTGAATATATCTTTCTCACAAACATCACTGGAAAGTTTGTAGTTCGGTCGGCTATGTCAAAAACAAGTATAAGTAAAACAATGCACAAGTTACTTAACGGTAGGGAGAGAGAGAGAGCGAGAGATGAAAAAACGCGACTTCTATTTCTGAATATATCACAGATAGGAGATTTATAGCGAGTGGTTCCCTGCATTATTACAGCAAAGCGCGTTATTACAGTACAAACCGCTGCAATGGGCAGCTCTAATGCTAATAAATGAAAGATGATGTACCATAGAGCAAAAAAAATTAACAGTGAAAGTAACAAAAACTTGTAAAATACATTTTAATGGGCATAATTAAGTGTGAAAATAACCAAAGGATATACAGTCAAACCAAAAATTATTAAAATAAATAATAATAAAATTATTATTAGACCAGATATCATTTTTTATATTTTTTTACAAGTGGGTGCAGGACTCTATAGTTTTTATGTAAGTGAGGACAGCAAAATAAAGTAAACTGTGACAAATTATACCCAAAATTTCTTCATACAGTGGACTACCAGTAAAACTGATACAAACTTGGGACCAAAAATTATTCAGACCGAGTCTGGGAAAACTGAAGTTCAGGTTTGCATTAAGCTGGGTGACAGCATGCCCAGGAGACTATATGCTGTCATTAAGGCTAAGGGTTGGCCGACTAAGTATTGATAGTTGTGTAAATACAGTCTGAGTTATTTTTGGTTGATTGTAATCTATTACATACCTTTCTATCAAAATGATCTAACATTATCAAGATGAATTTGTTCTGACACAGTTTAACTCGGAGTTCTTATCATATTTTATTACCATTTTCTAAACAATAGCGAATAAACTGTGATAATGTGAGAAATGTTGAAGGTGTCTGAATAAATTTTGGTTTGACTGTATCCATTTGATAAATGAAGTTAACCAACTAACATTATACATACTCTTTTGGTTTCTGTACCCAATATTTAAAAAATTTACAAATGCAATAAAAATATCGGTATCGGTACTCAGTATCGGCAAGTACCAAAAATAAAAGTGTCGGTATCGGGCGAGTACTGGAAAAAGTGGTATCGGTGCATCCCTAATTATAATGTACCGTTCTGAATAAACAAATCCAGTCAATTACAGGATGAACTTCTCATTTCCATTTAATTTTCATCTTCATTTCCATTTCATTTTTCATCTTCTTTTTCTTTTATAAAAGTCACATTAAAACTGTCAAATTTGTTTTGAAAAAATTTGTCAATTTATTCAAAACAATTTTGACTGTTTTTATGTGACTTTCATAATGAACAAAAGAAAAAAAATTTAAATGAAAATTTAAATGAAAAATAAATAAATAAAATCAACAAAAAATGTGTTTAAGGATACACTGCGCATCTGCTTGGTGGATGGTCTGGTCGGGCAGGTTGGCGTGCTGCATTGCGATGGCGTGAGGAAACTCGCTGAGCATCCGCTGCTGAAAGGCCTCCAGACGCTCGTAATCGTTCCCTCGACACACAAACTCTTTATTCTGTCCGGTGACAACACACACAGACAGAAGCAATGAGGAAAGTGGAAGGCACTGGACACAATATCGACTATTTGAAGGACTAAATGAGAATAGAGTAAATCTTTCATAATTCCTAATTCATTCTCATTTCCCCTCCATTCCCATTACAATCATCCATCCATTGCACTGTGGTGTGAAAATGAAGAATAGCAACTGGACAAAATGCGAATAGCTCAATAAAAAGGAAATGTTGCAGAAATGTTTCAAATTATAGATGGGTTACGGTTAGATCTGGAGGGAAAGTGACCCCTAGAGGACAAGATGTCGAATTACAGGATAAATAAGTTGTAAGCAATAGTTCACCCAAATTTGAAAACTCTAAATACAAAAACAATGGATGAATAAAACAGAGATATCTGTAAAATATTTACATCATGTAATCAGCTTTTATTATATTATATTATAATATATTATTAGATTATATTATGTTTGATAATAAATAATATGTATACAAACATATATAAATATAATACAAATATGCTTGAAGAATTGTACCCTTAAAAAGAAGGGGAACTTCTTTCCGTAGAAGCCGACTCTGAAGAACTCTGGCTCAAGCCGCTGCTGGTTCATTATTTTGTCATATAAAGAGGCTGTTCAATAAACAGATATATTTAATCATATATATATATATATATATATATATATATATACACACACACACACAGTGTTGGGCAAGTTACTCTGAAAATGTAATCAAATAACTGATTACTCCTTTTAAAATCAATCACGTGACTGTTCTGATTACTTTATTTCAAAAGTAATTAGTAATTAGTTACATTACTAGTTATGTTACTTTTTTCTCTATAAAATCCCAGCATACACGCTCCCGATAAATATTTGTTATTAAAGCATCAACATTCACAGAACACTGTTATTTTTAACTAAAGCAAGCGGCTGCTGCGTGCATGGTTTGGAAGAGCGCTGCATTTATAATCTCTAAAAGACATCTCAATTCATCTACAATTCGTGTGTTATAATGAGAGGATTTATGAGCATGCAAATCTTATAAAACACTGCATTCTGTCAGCAATGTAACGCAGCAGTAACGTATAGAGACCTCGGCATGTAACTACACTCTAATTACTATTTTGAAAATTATAACGCGTTAAATGATATATATATATATATATATATATATATATATATATATATATATGTATTTAATAAATTAATACCAAAAATAAAAATAAATATATACATACCCACATACTGCATGGTCCATAAAGAGGAAATACTTACCCTCATTTTGCTGAGGTTCCTGTAGTCATAAAACGCTTCGTACTGATTGGCCAGCTCTCGGCACAGTATGATGCAGTTTTCCCAGCACTAGAATGAACAGTTCAGTTTTAAAGATTTAAATAACAGTAATATTTCATACAAGCCTATAAAAGCCTATTTTTAACTATATAGAAGTACCCCTTCTGTAATCAAAACGGTTGAGTAATTGCAGCAATAAGTTTCAGCCACAAGATGGCAGTATGTAGGAAGAAAAGAACATCTCCTATGTTGTCCCGTGTTCACATTGTGTCACCGATGGTCACAATAGCTGGAAATCAGCCACTGTCGGTCTGATTGGCTTTTAAAATGAGATAAAATGCATCCTAAAATGCGAGATGGACTCACTTTCCCTCTGTCGAAATTGTGAATGATGGTGAGATGGAGGCATTCTTTCCTCTGCCATTCGCTCTGCATGGGGTACGTGAGGAACTCTCTGAGAGGCCTTTCGGTCCACTCCAAAAGCTCGTCGTACAGCAGGAGGGTGTAGGACGCCTCTGCAACACAGTCACAAAGATCATAAACAAATGTAATTAAAATATCATAATTTATAATAGAAAAAATTTATATAATTCTAAAATATGTATTATTATTATTGCAAAATACTATTATTTAAAAGTAATATTAATTATAAATCATAAATTATAAAAATTAATATATACAAATAATTATTAAAATGAACATTAAAAACAATTGAAATATATTACATTTTATATTATTTAAATATATCTATTTATTATACAAAAAAAGTAATTGGTGCAGAAATTACTTGCCACATATTTTGATCAGAGGTAGGCTACAGTACAAAATTAACGATACAGATCAACACAAATATGCTGAGGCATTATTACCAGTGTAATTTTGTGCCTTCAAGTGCAGCTCATAGAGCTTGTGAATATAACGGATGTACATTTCTTCTTTATTCAACTCAGTTTTGTAGAAGTTCTGAAAAGGACAGGACAATGTGAGCAGAAGATGTTTTTTTTTGTAGTTTGCCTCAATAAACAAAATAAACAAATAACAATAACAATAAAAGGGTTTTCAAATATGTTCCCTGATCTCAGGTTAAGTACATGAAATAAATGACACAATTCACTTTTAAACAATGTCAGTGATATCCAAAACTAACCAGAAGGTTGACTGTACATCCCATTGTTTTCCCATCAACCTCGCCGATCTTCATGCAGTCCCTGTGACGAAATGGTGAAGAACATGAGCGTGTTTGTTCTGTATACTGTATGCGGTCTGTGTATGGATGTGAGTGTGTCGGAGTTACCTGTAATCTAGCAATCTTTCCATTAGCCGTGTGACGGTAGCGATGTGGGAAACGCCACTTTCTCTCCAGGTCTCTCTCTCAATCTTCTTCAGGAGACTAAATCACAGGCATATTCAGAATTATTATAAGAACTAATTAAAACAACAATAAAATCTTTTATTTTGTTACACCCAACTTTACAGTACATAGTATTTAATGAGGGTCTTACCTCGGATATGGACCAAACAGTGGAATTCTAATGCAGAAAAATAGAAAAACATTTTAAAAAGTTGTATTATTTTTTTTAAAACGTAATACTTATTTTGAAGTATTTAATAGTTTGTAAAATGTTATATTTATATAAAATATATCATATTTTGTATTTATACACTACCACTAAAAAATTCGGGGTCATGAGATTTTTTTTAAATGTTTTTGAAAAAAAAATCGCCATTCACATCAAGGCTGCCTTTATTTTATGATAGTAAAAAACAGAAATATTGTGAAATATTATTCCAACTTAAAATAACCGTTTTCTATTTTAATATACTTAAAAATGTAATTAATTCCCGTGAAGCAGTATTTTCAGGTTTCAGTCTCACATGATCCTTCAAAAATCATTCTAATATGCTGATTTGCTTAAGAAACATTTCTTATTATAATCAATGTTTAAAACATTTGAGCTGCTTAATATTTTTGTGGAAACCAGGATACATTTCTTCAGGATTCATTGATTTAGAGAAAGTAAAAAAAATAAAAATAAAAAAACATTTATTTGAAACAGAAATCTTTTGTAACATTATATATCTTTACTGTCACTTTTTATCAATTGAGCCCTTGCTGACTTCAAGTATTAATTTCTTTCATAAAAAATACTGACCTCAAACTTTTGAACAATAGCATAGACTATTTTATATTAATATTTCATTTATAGTACATACAGTTTAAAGCACACATTTCTCATTGCAGCTACAAAAAATGATGATTTACAGTAGGAAAGAATTAGGACTCACATGTTGTTAAAGAGCTCTCTGTATGTCTCATCTCCTTTTCCCTCTGACATCAGGCCATCCAGTTTGTCTATTAGTTTGGCCTCCACCTTTAAAAGAAAATGTCAACAAAAAAAAAAGTATTTTTTTATTCGTACAGCATGTTTTTAAATCCTCTTATGATGTTGGTCAAGGTATGCATGCATGACTATTCCAGGCAATATTTGAATTTTTTTTATCATTATTTTTAATGGCTTTCTGCAAGACAACTGAAAAACCCAGACTTGCATTTAGAAAATAAATTATATATCCATTTTAGTTCAACTTTAAATTTGCACGAGTAGCTCCTAATCCTTTTCAAATTATGATTCCATTCCAAAGCGACATGATCTTAGTAAACAAGCTCGATTTCCTCTCATCCACATCGTTTTACTCTGACGCCCGCACATAATTTACTATGACAATATCTCTCGCAGGTTGAAACATGTTTATGCGACTGTGATTTCAGCACCTGTTTGAAGTTGCCGCTGCGTTGCTGTTCGCAGTCCATCATATCGTGGAAAATGGGGATGAGGACGTTCCGCAGGTCCATCTGTGGTACCAGAGTCACCTCCATGAACGGACCAATCAGGGTAGGAATGAGACTTAACTTATAGTCACCTGGGAGACAACACCATACATTGCTTTTATATGCACCGGTCATGTGACTCTATAAGTGCTCAATGCAGGTTTGTAAAAGTGGACGCACCCAAATGCTGCCACATGCTGAAAATCTCACAGCCAATCATCACTCTCATGTCACCGTACCTTTAAAAACACAAACAAATTATAATGTCAAATATTGTGGTAATATTGCAATGGTTTTCCCATGGTGCAACTTGCAAAATGATCACAGTGTAAAACTACAAATTATCCAATATACAATAAATCGCTAAACCTGCTGCTACTAACAGTGTCTCATTACGCAGAATGTGTTATTTTACATTGTGAAATCTCATTCCTGGTAGGATTCTGATCATATAAAGGAAAAGAACAGGAAGGGCTCTCACTTCTCCAGGACTTTTTTCCTCTTGGAGGGCGGGAACATTTCCAGTTGTAGGCAGGGCTGGTTGATGAATATTATACAGAGATAAAAATAGGACTCCCATACCTACAGATAAAAAGAGAGCTAATTAAGATGCTGACGACGATTATCTGCATTGCAGCCACACGTTTCACATGTTCCCAGGATGCTCTAGGAGACACAGAAGAAAAGACATTTCTCCTATGCAGTCTTTTTTTTTTCTTCATACGGGACACTGTAAAGAATATCAATGTGCAGTTGTTAGCCTAAGGAAATATTTCTACTTCATCTGACCCATATTCTTTCCCCTTCGTGTGACCAACTGTATTCCAAGTTGATTCTACAATATTAAATAACCATAATTATATTATATTATATTACATTATAAATATTTTATATTATTTACAGGTTACTTGATCAAACATTTTTATAGTTTAGATTTGAGTTCATGGCTCTTAGATTTTCTGCATTCACACATACTCAGTGTACTAAAGACATCGGAATATATTAGCATATTTAATGAAATAGTAAAAGTGACGGGTATTTTAATACATTAGAGAGCAGAAAATAAATGTAATTATTTTATTTATTTATATAAACATTGAAAAATAAGATTATGTGCAGATGTTTCACATACTTCATTATATTTACTGTAATCAAATTAAATTTGTGAACTTTTGATGTTAGCAACAGCCAGGTCATGGGTTCGATTCAGGAATGTTTTTGAAAGAAGCCAGGGCTGCATTTATTTGATCAAAAATATAATAAAAATGGTAAAAAAGTGAAATTCTGTTGATGATTTGCTGCTCAAGACATTTCTTATAATCAATGTTGAAAACAGTTGTGCTGCTTAATTTTTATGACTTTTCTCAGGAATATTTGATGAATAGAAGGACAGCATTCATTTGAAATAGAAATCTTTCAGAACATTTCACTTTTTATCTGTTTGAATGTAAATGTAAAATCTTACCTTGAAGTCAAATTTCTCATTAAGGAAATTGTTGCGCAGGGTATCAGAGAGATACAAGATGGTGGTTATGATGACGCTAAACACAAACAAGCAGAAACATCAAGCAATAAAATGAGATTATATACAATCTATTTCTGGTATTGTTTTCCACACTTACTTATTAGCGACCAGTCTCATGACAGTCCAGTCTTTTGGAAACATATCGGGTCGGATAAGTATTCTGAAGACAGTGAATAACTGCAGGAGGAAACTCTGTAATAGATTGTACAGTTCAGCAATCACTATTATCCAAGCAGAATAAGCTAGTTAAACAGCTGCAATGCACTCTGCTAATATTTATCAAATGATTTTACCGTTAGTTCATCTTTAGTGGGAAATCTGCTGAGAAGCTGCTGGTATTCTTTATCTTTCAACTGCCGCAGCAATGTGAGCAAACAGGCAACAAATTCACCCTGAAACACACACACATCTGATTTGTTATTCACTTTACTGAAATACTGTCCCTGAAGTAAAAATCAAAGGTAACACACGCACAGTAACATCCTGGTACTGCAGGCGCAGTGAGGTGGCGGCAGGCTGAGGCCGGTTGGTCACTTCCAGTATAGTTCTGAGTAGCACTCCAGACAGACCCTCCATGACCAGATTCACCTCCTCAGAAACACCACACTCCTACAGAGGCATAAACAGACTTTATTTTATTATAATGGATTAATACATCTTTTTAGCATCTATTTTAAAAATGTCATATATTATAAATATGTGTTGATCAAATTAAATGACAATTAATCACATATATAAATACTTCCTAAGAAAAGCCCCATTATATTACTGTGGTAAAGGAGAAAATATTCAATAAACATCACTTTCAGGTTAAAAATATTTCAATGCACCAAATTCCGTATTTGCTAAATTTACATACAGGTCAGGAAGTTTGTTTTACTTATTTGGTTACATGATTAACATATTAAATGTAATTAAATTTTTTTATATATAAAATCAGCAAGTAAAATATGTACCACATCTCACCAGCCATTTTAATGAGGAAAAAAATATTTATATAATATATATTATTTATTTACAATAATATATTACTTGCAAATGCCCTTATTGCGAAAATGTACATACATGCCACAATGAAATGAGAACTTATTTTTAGATAATTAATTATAATTTTTAGATAAATTAATAAGCCCTTAATCAAACACATTAAATATAATTTTACATTTTTATTCACAAAATCAGCAACTAAAATGCATACCAAATCTCACCAGCAATTCTAATCGAAAAAAAAAAAAAGAAAAAGGACAAGAGCAACAAGCTAAGCAATAAATAGAACAAATGAATGATGCAGAGAATGGAGTAAACCGTAGGAAAATGACTCTAGCAGCAGAGTTTTGGTGTAAGACTGACCATGGCTGGAGTGTTGAGCGTCAGCATGCTGGTGAGGATATTGGCACATAGCACCAGCTCCTTCTGCTCCTGCAGGTGTGTGTGCAGCAGACGCAGCACTACAGGTAACAGCACACACCTGGACTCTGACAACACACAACACACACATATAAGAATCAACCAACTTCTAACTCTACAACAACTACTCATATTTGATACGCAGATCTCTAAGGCCTTTGAATGATCAAAGAAAACTGCTATACACAATCTAAAACATGCCTTCTGTTGTCTGATTGATAGTTAATACTTTTTGAGCAAGTTAAAGACCTTTTAGATTTATTGTAAAATGTCCATATGTCTATCTGTTGTGAAATCTTGACTGATTTGATTAAAGTAAATACAAGAATAACTTAACTGGACTGGAGTAGGTTTGCTTGATTATCCATACATCAGTTTTTAGAAAAATCATGTTAAAATGTCAGTATCAAATATGATACAATCAGGCTTTTGAGGAATGTTTATTTAGTCATCTCTCAATCATCATTGTATTGCATTGCATTATAAGTTTAAAGCTACGGAGCTTTGATCATAAAACTAAACATTTAAATGCTATCTTACCAAGACACATTATTGGGAGATACAGAGTGACAACTGATATTTATATGCATTTCATTTTAGTCTGTTATAATGTTAAAAAGTATACTTTTGTATACTTTTTGGCCACATGCTTTTTACGTTCTTCCTTCCATATTCTCCTATATCATACTATATGAGCCATAAAAGCCTGATGTATCAATTATGATACAAAACATTGATTTTGTTTTAGGCAAAAAGTTTAATAAACTGTTTGATAAAAAAAAAAAAATATATATATATATATATATATACTGT